GGCTTTTTCAAATTAACAACGGTTGTTCACGGCGACGCAAAGAATTGTGGGTTATCTGTAGCAGCGAAGGATACACCTCATGCATCCTCCGAATTCCTGTGAAAGAAGGTCGCATTCGGAGTGTCCTACTTGCTTTTCTGAAATGAGACCGTCTCGATGACGTATGCAGCCTTTGATATGCGACCTCCGGAGGACGCAGCCTTCTAAATGAGACACAGCTTATGAATGGGTAATTGAATCATTGACTCACTAGATTCGTTTAAAAACGCAGTTCATTCATAAACGAGTCACCGCTGTGTTTGAATGGCGATGCACAGCGGCTCGACGCGCAGCGGCTCAGCTGTTACTTTGTTTGAAACTATTTTTGTTGACGAAATAAGGCAATAGTGTTGTAGTCAGACAATATAAGTCACTTAATATTAACTTGTTTAATGAACTGTTGTATTAAATCAATATCACATTTGCAAACTCCCTTAATAATCATTAAAAGCTGCCACTCATCTTAGTTTATCCCGATCTCACAAAACTCCATTATAATCGACGAAGCTCTCTACAATGCACGATGCATATCTTATTTACACCCCGTCAACACTTTGTTTGTTATAGTGAGAGGATATGTCTGTGATGCATTACTCAACGCTGCAGAAACACGTACGTATATTAGAACCTTTGAAGCTCCCTCAGCGCAAACACAAATATGCTGACCGGGTCAGTCGCACAGGTGCTCCTAAATATTATTTCATAGTCGCACGCAGTAGTTTTCAGTCGCAAATGCAACTGAAATGGTCGCACTCATGAATGTGGGTAATTGAATCATTGACTCACTAGATTCGTTTAAAAACGCAGTTCATTCATAAACGAGTCACCGCTGTGTTTGAATGGCGATGCACAGCGGCTCAGCTGTTACTAAAAAAAAAAAAAACTATTTTCGTTGATGAAATGGAGCAAAATAAGGCAATTATGTTGTCAGAAAATATAAGTCTCTTAATATTAACTTCTTGTTTAATGAACTGTTGTATTAAATCAATATCACATTTGCAAACTCCCTTAATAATCATTAAAAGCTGCCACTCATCTTAGTTTATCCCGATCTCACAAAACTCCATTATAATCGACGAAGCTCTCTACAATGCACGATGCATATCTTATTTACACCCCGTCAACACTTTGTTTGTTATAGTGAGAGGATATGTCTGTGATGCATTACTCAACGCTGCAGAAACACGTACGTATATTAGAACCTTTGAAGCTCCCTCAGCGCAAACACAAATATGCTGACCGGGTCAGTCGCACAGGTGCTCCTAAATATTATTTCATAGTCGCACGCAGTAATCTTCAGTCGCAAATGCGACTGAAATGGTCGCACTGTAGAGCCCTGCAAATTGAGGCAGTAATTAAAGCAAAAGGAGCCCCTACCAAGTATTGAGTACATGTACAGTAAATGAACATACTTTCCAGAAGGCTAACAATTCACTAAAAATGCTTTTTTTATTGGTCTTATGAAGTATTCTAATTTGTTGAGATAGTGAATTGGTGGGTTTTTGTTAACTGTGAGCCAAAATCATCACAATTAAAAGAACCAAAGACTTAAACTACTTCAGTCTGTGTGCACTGAATTTATTTAATACACGAGTTTCACAATTTGAGTTGAACTACTGAAATAAATGAACTTTTCCATGACATTCTAATTTATTGAGATGCACCTGCAGCTTTCATTTTTCAGGTCAATCATATATTCATGAAAAAATAAAATTAGTTTGAATAGGGAAAGTGATAACTTTGCCATAGTATCCTTTCAAATGTTAAAGTTGCCACAGTCATTGCATTCTTTGCATGTGCTGCACTTTATTTGTACCATTTTGTTTTATTCGTTTATTTATTAGAATTTGAAAGATAACAATATTGATTGATAAGTGAGAACTGATTTTAGTCCAAAACCAAAAAAGTAGTGCAACTCCTTAAGTCCTGGAATTTTATTTTGCAGTATCTGTACGAGCCCTGTTTAAGTTACCAGTTCTTGGACCATTTTAATGTTTTTGTTGTTGTTAATTGAACTGAACTGTAGTTTTCTGTAGTAAACTGTCTGTGTATATTTCCTAATTTTATATTCTTTTCCTAGTATTTAATTTACCATTATTTCTTTTGAACAAAACAATTTCAGAAATGTCATGTTTTAGATTGTAGGTCACCTTGCACCCTAACCAGCAAAACTTGATATCAAAAGCATCTTAAATGTTACATGTGTTTGCACCATATTGTAGTGAGTAAACTTTCTTGGTATTGCGGTTTCAAATATCCCACCATAATCTGTAGTCTGAGCCTGTTAAGGTCTAATGGCAATGCCAGATATGTTACTAGTTAGTTTCAAGGAAAATCATTTTCTTTTTTTGTTTGCCAAATAACCCTATGTATGTGTCCCCCCCCAACCCCTGGAAAAAAAGTTCTTGCTCAGGATTTTTTTTTTTTTTTTTTTTTTTTTTAACCCCGGGGGTTTTTTTCTTTCCTTTAG